GGTCAATGATTTGTTAGCATATTTTAACCTTTGGCGCGAGACTCAAGCTTTTCGAGTTGGGTTGTGGCACAGTACAAGGGGAGTGGAGTCATGTTTACTGATTGTGCAATTGCATCGAGTAACTCTGTATGAAAAACTCTACTTACATACTTCTTACTCTGGATACATTTTTTCTGCTTGTGTATAACCCGGAGCATCACTAACTGTAATAACATTTTCATCTTAATGCGTTCAGAGCACATTTAGTCAAAAGTTGCCACTGCATCTGCGTCAGCAGCCACGTCAGCGTCAGTTTTGGCGTTAGGAGCTTCCGTTGGCGGGCTTGGGTTACCGGGCTCCCACCCAGGGCCGAAAACCAAAAACCACCAAGAACCCAGAGAATCAGAATCCGAATCAGAGCGAGACCAAGAACGAGCCTGACTTCGAGGCGTTCGAGCCTTTGCTATTGGCATTGACTTTTTGGAAGGGCGGGGATCGGGGGCTGAAACTCGGGGATATGTGGGGCCAGAGGGTATACGGACAAGGATGAGGATAAGGATGTGTGGACCCCAAGGGATTGGCACGCATCGAGCACGTACGGCGATGACGACAACCGCAAACTGCTGCGATTTTCTAGCAGCGACCTCGTCCTGGCTGCCTTTCACCTTCTGCAGCCGTTTGGCTCTTCCATTTTGTGGCTTTTCCTGGCAGACCGCCCGCTCACACGACCATGCACTCGAACAAAAGTACTGCAATATCCACTCATTAATATTTCGGAACAGAATCCAATCCACTTTGGCTTATTAACTTAAGAAAAAACTGAACCGCATGTGAAGGAATCAGAGGTAAAATTAAACTTTTTGTCTTTTCCTCTACTAACCCTTTTTCCTCTGAGTGGACTTTTTACTTTCTGTTACGTATGCAACATTCATTTTTGACAAGCATAATTTGCGGCCAGCCCAGCAGCACAGCCATTGGGATTTCGCCCCGGGCTCTTAGTCTTGTGTTTCAGGTTATTTACAGTTTTCATGGCCCTGCACTTTTCTAATGCAAAAATGATGCACTGCACCCACGCGGCCCACGTTCGCTTTCCATCCAACTCACTCTGTGCCACCCGTGCCAGTCCAGCCACCAAGGCAGCTGCCCTGCATCGTCCTCCCGCCCACACGACTACATTGCTCCGTGACGTGTGTGGGCCTGGCTGTCTGTGGTTGGAATCGAGTCGAGGATGCGGTGCAGTCAAAACATGCACTTAATGTAGCATCATCAGGAGCCAGCGGGCTGTAGCCCGTAGTCAGTGGCCAAGAGGCCGAGCCAGGAGCACCGGGCAGCCCTTTCCCGCCTTTGACCAGGCTCCGCAGACGCCGCACCTCACCGCATTGGCAATGAAAGTTGCAAACCAATATTTGTGCAGGCAGGGAGCGAGACCAAAAAATGGACGCCAGGAGCGGTTCGCCTTTAAGTGGATAGTTATGTTTGCATTGCACAAGTCCAGCTCTGGGCTAAAGAAATCTCTATCAACTGGTTTAGGGGCTTTGGGCAACAATTATGTGTTTTAAAAATGTACATATAAGTCATCCAGTGAGCAAGTCTACAGGAAAACATGTTTAAACAGAATTAGCTTGGGGAAACAGTGCGTATGTGTGATAATAACCAGCACCACAAAGCTTTCTATAAAGGCAATTGTCAAAATGTCTGAAATTTAATACAAAAAGTTAGTTATTTTTTATTTAATAGGGGGTTTGCACAATTTTAAAGAATATTTCGTTAACAATTATACCAAAATTGGTCCCTTTACTGAAACTATCATTTTAGTATTAAATAAAATAAAAATAGCCAGTGATTAAAAACAAATTAGTCACTTTTCGGGGAAATGGAAACTCCGCTCCTGAAGGTTTCGGCATAAAAATAAATCTGTTTGCCAAACAGTTATTGCTCTTGTTTTGCGTCGCATCCACCGCCCTCACCTCGGAATCTAATGCCAACTGGCGCTCCTGCGCCGCGTCCTGCGGCCTGCCCTCCGTCTCATTCGGTTCGTTACGGATCCTTGCCATCCGATGCCCCACGCAGCTCGTCCCGGCAATATGTGCGCTCATTTTATGCCCTTGCATTTGGCAACGGCTCAATAATTGGTCAGTGGAATAGGGATGGAGTGGCGTGGGCAGGAGCGTCTAGTGGTAGTGGGAGATTGTGAGTGGCTAAGAGCTCGTGACTCAGGTGGCCACAAAGCTTTCTATAAATTCCGAGAACCATGGCAGTGATTATGCAAGCCGGCTAAGCCGGAGGCTCTCCAAATGCTCTCGATGCTTTCGTTGTTGCCACTAGAACTGCCGCCTGCAGCGCGAGATCTGCAAAATGAAATTGAATATGGGTTATGAACGGGGGCATCCCGGTGCTCCCGGTTCCCCCAGTCTTTTTTCGGACTCTATCTCCATCGCTCTTTATGTTTCTGCTTCGGTTCTAGGTCCGTTTCTATTTCCATTTTCCTTTCCGCTGGCAAAACAAACAATGTCCGGATTCAAGACTCGGACTCGGACGCCCCACGGATAGTCGAGTGCTCGGCAATTTATGCCTGCCAGTGATGAGAAATTATTCGGACTTTAAACAAGGAAATGGAGTATAAATATTAGGGAAAAATTACTAAAAATGTTTTATATTCATTTTGGCATATTAAGCATATTGTTTTCTTAAATATCCAAAATGAATATCAAACATTGTCCATATGCATATTGCATATTGTTAAGCATATTGTTTTCTTAAATATCCAAAATGAATATCAAAATGAATATCCAAAATGAATATCAAACATTGTCCATATGCATATTGCATATTGTTAAGCATATTGTTTTCTTAAATATCCAAAATGAATATCAAAACGAATATCAAACATTTTGGATATTTAAGAAAACAATATGCTTAATTCTAAAAAAGAAGATAAATAGTGGAGAGAAAGAATGTGATATTTAAGGTACAATTTTTAGTTATCAGTATGTAAAAATGTAATAAACGAAGAAGTCTTACTAATTTGAGTTACTTAGCCCACTACCAAAAATGGAATTCCACAATATCCTTTCCACACTCCCATTGTCGCAGCACAGCAGCAGTTCTGCCGGCAAATCAATACCTCTGCTTAATGGTACATTGCACCTCCGATCTGTGGCAGAGGGCGGGGACCTTTGATCCCTTAGCCCTATCCCTGACCCCCCACTGGCCCCCACTTCACCCAATACAGTTGCTCCTACCTGGCCATTGATTAAAGTGGTTCCTTTGCAAATTTATGTTCGGAATATTAACCGAATTGCTCCCCGAGGAAAACTCCCCAACCAATCTCACTCGCAAAAAAAAGAAAAACTTTTTCCACACAATGTACTCGTGTACTCCTTATACACACACACACCCGTACGCACACACACTTTGGGGCAATCATATGAAAAAGGGGCCAAGGCAACTTTTTGAACAGTTTTTTGGATTTTGGAATACAAATTATGTAAGTAATCTCAATTTATTGATATATGGAGATGCATGTTTACACGTGGCCGAACGGCCGGGAGGAGGAGCAGCAGCTCGACATTGTCGCTATTTTGAAAGCCCAAGGTTCGAGGATAATGGCTCGGGGTTAAGTGGGCGGTAAGGTAAAACAAGGGGCGTGGGTGGCTGGGATGCTTAGGATGGCCATGTCTGCCCGCCCGAGTGTGACCCTTATGAATGGGCCAACTTTTGTCTTTCTTCGTCGCATTTTATCCCCGCGCAGCATTATAATTTGCCATGAATATATGAAAACCGTTTGTAGAAGTTCAACCATTCCGAAGTCCTTGGGTTGCCACCCACCCCCTTTACAGGCGGCTCCCACCTCGGCCCGTTTCCAGCCATTTTGTGGGGATTGTCAGCCTGGGAAATGGTTTATGTAATGGGATTCATAACTTGTTTACCTGCCAGCAGGGTTATATCTAGTCGGGGAAGTGTTTTTAGTACGAGTCCAGCTTGTTCGGTGGAGCCTTCTAATTTTAATTAAACTTCTCAAATTGCCATAAAAATATATTTCGTGAAGCTGCCCAATGATTTATGGTAGTTTCAAGGTTATTCCCGCCATTATAAATTCATGCAAATGGCTCTGCATTTTCGGTCATTATTCAGCTCATTATATTCGAAAACCAAATTGGAGAGAGATCATCGGAATTCAAGCCAACTTAATTAACCAAAATTATGATGCATATGACCACTTACCACCTACCACTGTCCACTATTTAGCCATTTACACATTACCTGATTTATTTTTATAGCCCCTAATGAGTTAGGGCCTAAAATCCCAGACTTGTAGTAAATTTTAAAGCCTTTCTATGTCGCATTAATAAATAATCATTTTTATAGCAATCTAGGGGAGATTTTTATAAATTATGGATGCCATTCCCTACAACTAGAAACTCGGAGTTTTTACCTGAACATTTTCCCAAAAAAGGCATGTTTAAAAAAACATAATCATATTTGGTTTGTCACCTACCTGGATTGCCGTTCCCACTGATATAGAAATCTCCTGTAATACTAGGATTTAAAAGATAGTTTTCACTGGTAATACCTGTAAAGACTTATTCTAATTCTAAACTTTTACAATTCGTATTTTTCTAATAATCTTTTGAGAATTACCGGCATGGTTATTTATTTAAACGTAATTATGTTTATGCAAATTTATTTATAAATTCAAAACAGTGGCGAAACGAGAGCAACAAGCGCCAGGAGAGCAAGGCGAAGAGAACGTTCCACGGCGAATTCGCACTGCGCCGCTCTCTGCATTTAGTATTTTCCTCATCCAAATTCGCGGTCACACTAAAATTGGCCGAAGCAAACGATTTTTCTTACATATTTTAGATTTAAAACAAAAGAATGCTACTTTGTAAGCGTAATCAAAGTAATTACAAACTTGATTGCATAAAATTAAGGTAACACTAGGTAAGAATTCAAAAATCAAAATCCCGCCCGCGTTTCACGATCCACCGTTTCATGTTTCCGCAAAAATGTCGGTGCTGATTTGACCAACATTAGCAGCTGCGCCAATTTTCCGAAACCATCAATTAAACCAGAAAAGTGCGTTACATCAAGTGCATAATAAAAGGAGATCATCGTCGGAGGATAGTCCTGCGGGAGCAGAAGAAAGAAGCACAAACCACTCGCTGGAAACTGATTATTTGGACTGCAAGCAGAGGAGAAATTGGTAAGAGCAAGCACGCCCGTTTCCCAGTTCTCGTTTGCTCCGCAAACCGATTCCCGGCGACCCCCTTGCGGACATGTTCCCTTTTCCTCTTTCCAATTCCCCACACAAGCTGCGAATGCAGAATAACACAAACATAGATTTTAACGTGCGCACATATTCTCTTGCAGAAGCAGCAGCAGAAACGGCCAGACGTGCATCTTCTTGCCAGGCGAAATATGACGACTAGAGGCCACCCGAAATAGCTCCTGTTTCCTGTATTGACCTCATTGCTAAAATGGTAGTGAAGTGCCCGCTACGCTGAGGCTTCCCTCTTGCGATTTTCGGAGCCAGGTGGGTGAGGAATGCTATCTGCGGAAACAGCGATTGCCGCTGCCTCTCGCTGAAGTCGGCGCAGGTGACGCAAAAACAAAACCAACAAAGTACCGTGAAAGCAAACAGAATTTCAATAATCCGACGCCAATATTCCCTAGCCAGTATTGGAAGTTATAATTTTGTCATCGTTGAACTTCCGGCGCTTGGAAGTCATAGGAAACGCCATGTAGTTCTTGCCTGAGATGCTAGGAAACCATTTCCGATTAGTCATTCAGAAATTTTGTTAATTATTTTTCAACTCATTCGTGATCTTCAATAACATCTGATTGTATGTGTATGTACATCTTTGTTTTGAAACATTTCTGCTTTTAAATCCTCTAAAGAAACCAATTCCTGGCACCTTTCCGCTGCAAACTAGTTCCTGTTTTATATAACATTGTAATTGAAACTCACATACCCCCTAAAAGTGTATAGAAACGAAAACACGCACGATATCGTGACACTTTTGCATTTATTCATAGATTTGCCACTCGACGAATTCGTCACATGAAGCAACTCATGTACCAGTGTTCTGGTATAGGTTTTTCCGCTCCTCGTATTATCAGCATCATCTTTCCAGATTGGACCGTGTAGCATGGAAAGCAACGACAGCAGCGATAGCAACGGGGACAGCATAAAATCCATTCCCCGGCCGGACTACGAAGCCCTCTCCGCCATTCACAGTCCGCAGCCACAGATGCTGGATGGCCACATGGATAGCCAGACGGAAAGCCATTTGGAGCCGGCCAACATGCCCAGCAAGCGCCAAAAGTATGTGGTCAGCGCACCCCCAAGATCCGCCAACGGGAGCAGTAACTCCTCCAGTTCGAGTCCTTCCAACATCAATGTGGGATCCTCCCTGACCATGAAACTGACGAAGGTCAGCACTTCCACCCCGAACAACAAGACCCAGGCCAAGGTGCCCAAGGAGATGCTTGCCCTGCAACGATCTCACATTGAGTCCGAAGTGTTGACGAATTTCGTTATCGACGGATCCAAGTTGAAGCGAAGGAAGTCGCGCTATGCTGCCACGAATCTCGTACACCACGCAGCTGTCGGGGAACTGTCCCGCAGCCTGAACTCCTCCACCAAAAAGATGGCAAAGTCTTCTAAAGCCGCCCTTAAGCGGAGTAAGAGTATCCCAGCTCCCATTTGTGATTCAGACGAGGATTGGTGCCAGGAAGAATCGGGCGGGAAGGTTGTCAAGATCGGCAGAATGCGGGGACGTTCTATGGCTTTCGACGAAGGCGAGCGTCTGGCCCATCTGAATGCCGAGGACAGCAACAGTATGCCAGCTGACCACCAACTCAACCGCTTGAAATCCCGCAGCAAGACGCTGTCACTGACTAACAGCTGGAGCAACGACGAGCGAGCATCGCGGAGGGGCAACATGCGCAGCGAGAACGAAGAGTTTGCCAAGAAGCACAGCGCCTTCCTCGACAGCATCATGAACGATAACCCAGAGACGGAGCTTGCCCTGAACACTTCGGGAGAAGCGGACGTCGACGTAGACAGCGACTGGCCCAGTGGGGAGCTGGAGGCGCAGAACTCTCTGTTCTCCGACGTCAGCGAGTCAAAGACTATAGCTTCAGCGCCTGAAAAAGAGCAGGAGGAGGCCATACAGAGGTTGAAAATGATCTGGCAAGAGCCGCCTGTGGTGAGTACTCTTATTAGGATCATTATTATTTAAATTTTACTTTCTTTCCCTCCACATAGGCTGGCTGGGATCCCTTCTGCTGGAAATGCCGGCAATGCGGAAAACTACAACCCTGCTCAAAGTGCCTGCGTTCGTTCCACTCGTACTGCGTGCGACCCGCCACCACCAAGTTCGACTCCTCCTGGAAGTGCCCCGAGTGCCAACTGATCGAGACGGCTCCGAAGAGGTGACTGTAGCACCCTATATTCCCCGGCACATAATGTGAGCCATTGTTTATTTGTCTCCCCATTTTACAGACTGCGGCGCAACGATGTCTCCACCGATCTGCTGAGCCAGCTGCTCTCCTTCGCCCTGGAGCGCATGAAGCATGTGCGCGGGGTGAGTGATTATGCTGATTTTGCGGGGATTGGCCCAGGCCATCGATTCCAATTGTATGGTATCTCGTTTGCCATTAGACTTCTTTATCTCTCTGAATACTAGTCTGAGGTCTGATTTAGAATAATGCGAAATATATTTTGCAAAAACGCTTGTGCGTGTATGTGTTTACAAATAACCCTACCTATCCAGCTCAGACAATTGGTACTGCTTATCTAACAGCTTGCATCCATACATAGTAATCTGCCCAAAAATATCTGAAACAAAGCTACTACCTGCCTATTTTAGTAGGTATTTAAACATGTAACAGTTTGCACTGCATACCACATCAGAAATGTTCCATTTAACACGTACATATAGAGGGGGTGGCTCTTTCGTGACATTATTTTGACGTTAATTGTATATAACATGTGCTGGGGCTTTGCGCTCTTTGTCGCCGGCACTCGTTTGCATTTCAGTCCACGTACCATTTTTGTCTCTCGCTCTAGAAGCGCTACAGATATGTATAGACACCTGAAATGACTCGCTGGTTTGCTGATTTGCCTCGCCGGCTATTGGGTTTCAGTTTGACCATCTGGGCCGACAAGATTCCCTTGACCCTTCAGGCTCCAGCTCTGGTGCACTTCATGGGCTTAGTTCGTCGCAAGTCTGAGCACTTCAGCGACTCACGTGGCTTGTCTCTTCATTCACTTATCTGGAAGTCGTTGGCCGAAGCCATTTGCTTGTGTAGGGAATGCACGTCTGTGTGTTTGTGAGGGCTTTGTGTACATGAAGAATAAGGTTTATGGGTTCCAACTTCACCACTCAATAGGTTTTTTAACCTTGTTTTGAAGCTCAATAGATCAATGGATAGACAATTTCCAACAAACCTTTTTTTTTCTTTTCTATTTTATATTATTTAATTTAGGCAGCTTTTTATTCTTCATTGGTTACGTCATTATTTTTGCTTATCAATTTGTGGAATCTTCAGTATCCACAGTTTGTTAGGGTGAGGACATGGCCAGCTTTTCTTTCTTTTACTTCTTCCACAAAGTAGCTCCCTAAGTGGCATGCCCCATTAATTAGATTAAATTATTGATATTTTCGCTCGTTAGATGTGTTGGAAATGTGTGGGTATGGAGAGAATTAATTAATTAGCTTAATGTGATCACCGTCTGGTTAGCTAGAAGCATTTAAAACAATTCGCAGCGAGCTGGACAGCTCAGCGCAAACAAGTGCAAACCATTATTTACAATTATAAAGAAGAGGTTTCAGTAATAGTATTGGGTGTTTTATGGTTTGGTTGAAACATTTACTTTACTGACATTTCCAAACATTATCCACTTTATGTTTTGACCAAAGTGGTTATTAGCTACTATTTTCATGACCTTTGCTGTATATTCTTTGTGTACTTTAAGAGCTTCTTCTTATAGACAATTGCCCATTTTTGGTATCCAGTGGAGACCGTTGTTTGAGTATGAAACAGGAAGGGGCCGCACAACAGGCATCATTCATTTTTTATCACCCATATCCCATTTTCCTCCGCGTTGCCAGCCATCCTATTTATTGCCCCCATGCTCATGTGTATTTGTGGTGGTGTATCTGAGGGAATCACGGGCAAACTTGTTTGCGAACGACACACACTGGTGGCTCTCTCTTCGCCTTGCGGCGAATTTGCAACCCTCACTAAATCCTCGCTAAACTCTTGTGCTTACTCCCCCCCACAGGCCCACAAGCTGCGTTCGCCGCTAGAAGTGTTCCCGCAGACGTACAAAAAGTATTTCGTTAACCCGGTGAGCTTCGAGACTCTGGCGGAAAAAATCCGCAATGGAGCCTTCCAGAACACCGACGAGTTTCTCGGCGAGGTCAAGTGGATCCAGCACAATGCCCTCATCTTGGACAATGGCGGTAAGTGGGTACATTTTCGTAGGCACTTGTGCCACCAAAAATCACTTATCGCTTTTAATAAACAATCTGCTTTCCGTAGATGCCAAAGTGGAGCAAGCCTCGAAGGCAGTGGTGAAGGTTTGCCGGCAGGAGGCGAATGAAATAGACACCTGCCCCGAATGCTATTTGAACGCCAACTCCAGCGACGAGTGGTTCGTCAAAGTTTGCCGACAACCCCATCTCCTGCTGTGGGCCAAGCTAAAGGGATTCCCATACTGGCCCGCCAAAGCAATGGGATCCACCAATCCATCATTGGTGAACGTGCGATTCTTTGGCAAGCACGATCGAGCCTTCGTGCCCGTGAAGGATTGCTTCTTATATTCCGCTCAGAACCCAAACACCCAGACCAGTCGCAGGTCTGCGAGAGATTTGGCTGAATGCATACACGAGGTGGAGGTGCACATAGAGTACATAAAGCGGAAGATAGGAGCCTTTAACTACGCCCCATTTCGCACCGCCTACGACCCGATGGAGGAGCAACAGCAGCTGGAGCAAATGATGCCTGGCGTTTTTGCGGCCATCGATCGGGAGATGGAGCCCGCGAATAAAACGCCACTGCAGTTCCTCATCCGCAAAACTGCGGGAGATAAACTGTCCATCGTCAAGAAGAGCAAAACAACTGAGTCGGGGAATGAGTCCGATCCTTCCAGCAGTCCGGCCAAGAAGGCCATAGAGGCGGAGGTCGTACCAGTTTCAACATCCGCATCGAGTGATCATCCAAAGCACAAGAGCAGCAACTACGAAGTCATATCCAGGGCAGGCGAATCTCTCAGCGACTCGCGTTGCAAGGTTCTTCTCAAGCGAAAGTCGCTAGCCACCAAAACCACAACCACCGCTTCTGTCGAAGCTCCGGAGTCTGTGACCACGAAGCGCAAACATTCCCTAAGTGATGCTAGTTGCACCAGTGAATCCAGCGACTACAAGAAGAAATCCAAGCATGCCAGAAAGCAGCACGAGAAGGAACCCGATAGAGACTCAGAGGAGAAAGCAGGATCTAATAAGGACATTTTGAAATTAAAGGAGCAGCTGCAGAAAAAGGAGACATCGAATCAGGATCCAGCAATGGATGCCTCTGCAGCTGCAGTAGTTTCTGTTGTGGAGTTGGTCCAACGCCGTCAGGGAGTTACCATCACCAAGATTCCACGGGAACAGCCCCAGAAAGTGCAAGCCGAAGAGTCTCCAGCTGTGCCAACTACACTTCCGCCTGCCCCTCCTCCTGTTCCTCCAGCTGCCCCTCCACCTGTACCTCCGGCTGACCCTTCACCTGCTCCTCCGGATGTCCCTTCACCTGCACCTCCTCCAGCAGCTAAGCCAGCAGCTATCTCCACCCCTACTAAGACAAAAGCCCAAGAAAAAGCTGAAGCCCAGTCGGAAGTCGAACGGCAGCAGCAGCAACTCATCAAGAAGGTTATTCCGTTTGTGGAAATCAAAACGGAAGTAATGTCAGAGCCCGAGGAGGAAGAAACTGAAGAGACAACCAGAACACACCAAAATCCAACGGAGCAGCTCGCCAAGCAACAATCCCAGGAAGGGCACCTGCAAAGGCCGCAAAGGGTGACGGCTCCACCACCAGATCCCCCGGTGGCAGCCCCCACACGACCTGCCCCCGCTGAACCAGTAGGAAACCTGGTTCCAGAAGCGATTAAAATTAAGGAGGAAATCTTCAGCGAGGAGGAAATGGAAACGGACGAACAAGAGCAACGAGCGAGTTTTACCCAAAGATCGGAAACGATACCCATGCCGCAACCGATGCCACCGCCCGCTCCATTGCCGCCACGAACGGAAACTGTTATCCAATCGATTCGGGAGGAGTCACCTGCCACAGATGAGCTGGTGCGTTTTGTGGGCGACACAACCATCCAACGGATAAACCAAAAGCAGAGTGGCAAAACTACAGACTCAACATCCAAACGTCGTTCAGCACAAGCGCCGCAAACAGCACAAGCACTTGGTCCAACATCCTTAACAGCTCACTCAACGTCACCGACATCTGCCCCTTTGCCCTCAGCCTCTCCTTCGCCGTCGGCATCGCCCAAGCCCAGTGCGGTTCATGGGACCAGCAGGACACCGTCGGTAACCCCTCAGATGTCCCCGAAGATCAAATCGCCGGCACCCCATCAGTTTAGGTCGAAAGGCGAGCGCACACCCAATTCTACCTCGCCACCAAGTGCTGCCCAAGGCACACCTGCTTCAAATCTGCTCCGATCCAACATGGTGGTTATACCAGTGGAGCAGACGGCCAACTGCAATCCAAACAATCCCATGACTATACCTGTTCCTCCCTTGAGGGCCGTTTCCAAGAGCACGCTGCAAAACTCACAAGCTTCGATGCCTAATCTGCCGGGTAGCAGCACCCCATCCATGCCTCCCCCACTGGCAGACTTAAGTGGTCCCCCGACAAGTGCGGGCACGAACCCAACACAGGCTACAACATCCAGCTCAGAGCAGAGCGGCATTTTGGCCAATGCTCTGAATGGATTGCCAAGCGAAACTGTGGTGGGTGAGACGAACCTTAACGAACCCATAACTCCTGGAATGGCCACGGCCTTAAGTGAGATGCTTTTGCGGTCTGGTCCGCCCAAGTTGGTCGCTCGTCCTTGCGGCCCACTGCAGTCTGATGGTTCCCAGATCTATCCATCGCAAGCAGGACCGGTTTCCAGGAAACTAAAGGAGAATGCCCACAAGGTAACCAGCACCTTTTGTAATTAAATTGTTTTTCTAACTTAATGTCTGCTTCCTCAGATCACGGACTACTTTATTTCCGTTATCGAGGACACACTCTGCGACATGGGCTCCGGCGAACAGAGTGTGCTCCAAGCTCGCATCGCCGGCCTTTTGTTGGAGAACGAGCGACTGAAGCAGCACTATGATCGTCAGGTGACGGACATGCAACGCACCCACGAGCTAATGCTATCCGAAATGCGTAAGACAATAGAGCAGGAGAACAAACGGACAATCAACGAACTCCGCCAGCAGAGCACCCTGGAGAGGATGCGGGCCGTGGAGGAGGCGAAGAAAAAGCAGTGGTGCGCCAACTGCATGCGAGAGGCACAACTCTATTGCTGTTGGAACACCTCATACTGCGACTATCCCTGTCAGCAGATGCACTGGGCCAAGCACTCGAGCACTTGCGGGCAGGCGTCCAATATACAGCTGAATCCGCCGACGCACTCTGCTACCATGCCTGTTGGAATGGAACCCATGCGATCCAAATCCAAGACCCCGATGGCAACCACCTCGACGGCCAATACGAGCGTCACTCCAAATGCCAGCACCCAGATAATTCGAAATGTATCTGTTCCAGCAGCAGGACCAGCGATGAGCGGTCCCGGTTCTAAGAAGTGGTCGCCAATGCTACCCATGATGAACCCATCCAATCAGGAGGCGGTTCTCAAGCTGCCCTCCACCACCTATCTGCGCCCGGTGGTCAGCAATATAGGAACCACTGTGACGCCCTCGCCGGTACTAATTAATACGAATAACAGCGGCATGAACGCGATGATGGTTTCCACTCCGGCACCGAGCAACCATTTAGGCAATCTCATGCCTGGCCAGCGAAATGCCATCAGCTTTAATCCAAAACCGCTCTCGCAAACAACTCCAATTCAGCGCTTTAACATACCTGTGAGTAAATAGGTTTTTGAATTTTGGTTTTTTCTTTAACACAATTTGTTATCCAAATTTCAGTTACCCATGAATGTGAACCCCAATCCGCCGTTTAGTCTCATACCAGAGCCCCCTCATCAAAAGCCATCATCCAAGGCCACAGGGCGCAGTTCAGGAAAGAACAACAACCGCATGCGACAAATAAACATGGCAAACAACGCCCCGAGCCCACAGGGCATGAGACACAATCAAATGAATCAAGTGTTTAAACAGTGAATAGTTAAGGATAATAAAAAAAAGAACAGAGTAGATAGAAAGGAGATTGAACCGCCTGGAAAGACTGCCTGTAATTCAGGAAAATAGCATCCTTGATATTCCAGAGAAACTCAGAATCAATTATTTTTGTCTGATCCGAATGTACTAAGTCCATATTTTGGACGCCAACTTATTAATCCAAATCCCCGATAATCCAAGCGCTATTTTATTTTTTTTACTCAGAGAGTAACAGTTCTAAGTTTTATTGACACTGAAAGACGCAGTTTTATGTATAAAGATATCAATACAATAATAGTTACCTAAGTATATGGATAGATTCGGTATATATATTTATAAATATATCAAACTTTTTTTCAATATCTGATTTTACCATAACCTAATCGAATAGAATGTAAGAGAATGTAAAACCATGAGATGGAATTTTGCAAAAAGTAGTTACTTGCAGTCATACCATTCGTCATTTAAAGCATAATGTACATTTTTCTTTCATCCGACATCCCACATTTTATGTATATTGAAAGCAAAGCTATAACTGAAAAATGAGAAAAATACATCTGAAGAAATGTTTGAATCACCATACAAAATATATTTCTCTATCAAACCACCTACGAAACAAAAGTAACTTTCCCCAAAAATCAAACTCAACCTCAATCAATGTCTAACTTCTTGAAGTTTCCTTCAATCCCGAAAAGATCTGAGACGTTTTTGGGCTTTCCGGGTCTAAGTTTCTCGTTCACCTGATGGCGAGTCTCGAATTCAAGCATTTCCTTGCGATTATCCAACAGTTTTTTGTAATAAATATCTGTAAATAATTACATTTTAAAAAAATATTGTATCTATTTTCTGCCTAAAGGAGATCTACCTTTTGACAGGCTGGTGGACTCCTCGTCTCCGCCATAATCCTTGGGCAGCATTTGTTTTGGGACAAACTTAAAGAAGGCATTCAAATCGCTGTGGACGTGAAGGACACTGGACAGCTCCTTCTTCATAAAGGGGGTCATCAAGGCCAGGATCTTATCCATGAAAGGCACAATGTTGATGAAATGAAAGCCAATCAGTCTGATAGCAGCCGCTTCCTGGAAAACTTGACAATTGTATGGGAGATTTTAGATGCAAATAGATGGATCCTTGCCTGAAGATAGTATAGGAACTTTTTCATCTGCAAGAGGCCCACACGAGCCACGTGGCCCAAGGAACAGCCCTTTAGATCGATCACTATCACATGTCCTGGCTGAATGCCATCCTCGTACATCCAAAAGTCGAACACCATACAGTATCTGCAAGATAGTCATTTAAAAAGGAATATCTCGATTAATCTCGAATAACAAATTGTGTTTTTGAATTAAGCGGACGTACTTTGCTCCAGTCCTTCCCTGAGTTACACCCTTGCCTGTCCAAGTGGACATGTTTATTAATATTTACTTGTTTAATTGCTTGTTCTTAATTGACTGCCATTATACAGCAGATTATAATGATGATTGTAAGCGTAGAGTGGTCGATGATCTGTGAATGTCTGTGGATTAAGGCAAAGTATCTCAGTAGCTCAGCGTGTATCTCTGTATCCGGAATCGTGTGCGTGCTTTGAGTAGTGTTTAGTTTGAGGTTTTAGTGTAGAACCTTAATACTTAATACTTTCATGCTTCTTTCAGCCTTGTCATAATCACGCCACAAATATGACGTGCAAATGGCGCAAAAGCGAGGAGGTAATTATTGTCAGCCATTACTATTAAAGTTGAACAAGTGTTTGCAAAAATCGTATATAACAACTATACTTAACTTTGATATTTAGGGGTATATAATAATTTCTTATGTCACTATGGGAACTTTTTTTTAAAAGTGAAAGATATGGGTGGTTTTTGACAGTTCAACACAAGTACCATAATATAAGTGCTAGAAGGCTATTAGTTTCTATACTACAAGTGTTATTTATAGACCTTTTAAGAGTGTTGAAGGACACTTTGAAAGATGGACCATAATGCTAACAAATATTTTAAAATAATATTTAAAGACGTTTGCTTTACACCTCGATCCTATGAATACTTACAATTTCATAACGTCCGCAAAATTATAGTTTGAGGTATTTAAATCATCGAGTTTGCCGATTATAACTCGATAGCCTTCCGGAGTGGCTCCTGGTAGAGGAACAATGGAACTGCAAGGATTTTCAATGATTGTTTACCAAGAGTCCTTATAAGCTTGTCATTTAACCTACACTGTGTTCATGGCCCTCCTGATTTCCGGGCGCTCGCAGTCCAGATTCGAAAAGAACTCGTCCAGGTGGGTGCGGGCAGTGAGATTGATGTCCAGCACCTGTTTGGCAACCTCCATGCTGGACCTGCAGGCGTGGAAAAAGTGGAGCGCCTCGCCCTCCGAGAACTTCTTCGAGATATGCGGCTGGGCATGGATCCAGTCCAAGAACTTCTCGATCTCCGACCGTTTGATTTCCGGAAATCGGGCATACTGCTCCTTCAGATCGGCTTCCTTCATTTTTGGGATCAGCAATGCGATTTACTTTTGATTTTAGCGCGCTATTTGGCCCGAAACGCGTTTCCAGCTATCGGCGGTCGACTCTCGAATGAAATGGAAATGGAAGCTGTTTGCTTTCGCAAGTGAAACTGGTTGTCTGGCTGGCTAGCTGGCCGGCTGACTGTGCAAATTCGGCATGCAATTTCGAGTGCTCTCGGGATGGGATCGGGATTCGTAGTGGGAAATCGGGCATATCGGGAAAATCGGGGACGTATGGGGAGGGCAAATGGCATGTGCTGGCTAGCCGAATCGCAGACTGGATTCCCCTCATCCCCTCCCATTTTGGAGGAAAACTCACAACTGGCTTTCGTTCGGCCATCATCGTCATCGGTTCATTTCACTTTACTTCCATCAGGCTGCGTGGAAATGCATTTTGTTTGTTGGCGGCTTGTTGTTCGTTGCTTTTTCAACCTGACCGTTTTCTTCCAAACGGCTATTATTATTATTACTTTTTCTCTCCAATCCATCTGGGGTATTACGTAACATGTGATCAAGTGATTGGGCGGGCGATCCGTGACGAGTGTGGCCTGTTATTATTTCGCTTGGCATGTGCTCAAGCCGATCAAGAGATTTTAGCTCCTTCATCAAATCCGAAATATGATGCTTGACTGGCGAAAGGAAATTATATTTTTCATGTACACACAGACCACAAATGGAGCTTAGCGATAAGCGAACAAAGCGACGGCCAAAAGTGGCACACGTGGCGTATACTTAATATAAGCGATAGTCTACAAATAATGTTTTAGATAAAAACATTCAAACCTATTAAGTTGTTTTTTAGGTTTTATGTGTATAAAATACATATAATAATAAGTAAGGAAAGGCTTGAGCATGAGTTTTTTAAATGTCACTTTTCTGCCTCTATTTCGAAAAACTAAACAGAATTTTTCCATAAATATTTGGTTGCCCTCAAAATACCAAAATCAGTTTTGCAATAATTGTATAAATTGCTGGCTTCCTTCAGTTGAAATAAGATGTCACAACAGTTACGAGTTCCTCGCCGGCTAAATCCTCAAGTGGTTGCAATGCAACCTGCAACTTCGTCTTCTTCTAGCAAGTCTAGTTGCCGCAACGGCCTCATTTCCGCGGCAGACACTTGACATTTTGCCAGCAGCAGACACCAGCTAGCCAAGCTGGAAAACCAAGCCAAGCCGACTCGGCAAGTGGACAACCAAACAGGCAGCCTGTGGCGAGTCACTGAAAAATATGATTGAGAAATTAAAAAAATTATAACTAACAATCAATATAGTTTTCCTATTTATACAAAGCTTTTCTCACTTAATATACGTACCTACGGGTCACATGAATATTATCAACTTTTTTCAGTGCACCTGTGGCATGCTCCCCTCAGTTAACACAGCCGGTGCGCCACTTTGGCGTGTCTGAAATTCCAAACGGATTAGAAGCCGCGTGCAAAGAGCAAACGGCGAACTGCAAACACCGAACGGCAAACGGCGAGTGTTTACCTCCAATGGCAACCAGTTTGTTGGCCGGAGGAGCTTTTTGCTTTACGGCGTTTCGGGGTAGCCTTAGCCTAAAAGACGATCAAAGGAGCAGGGGTGCTGCTCCTCAGCTTGGCCAGCTGGGGGCAGGTGTCGCTATGTCAGCCTCGAGTGTCCAACTAGGTGGCAAACCAAATTAATTATCCATCCCAAAATCCGAGTTCGAAACTAAGTTTGCCACCGTGAGATCGAGAGGTCATGTGCACTTTACATAAATTAAAAAATAAAATTAATATGGTTCGATTAATATGGTTTATTTTCGAGTCAAAATATAATATTATATGCATGTTAATCAGTTCCTATTGAAGCTTAATAACTAAACTCTTCGAAAATCTTTTTAGACAGCGATGCTAAGAGAATCGATCCTTGAGAATCTAAACTCATTAAAATATATGCATATCGCCCCTTCTCAAGCCTTTTTCACTTTATTAGAAATTACTTCCTAACCCCCCTCAATCAGGATCTATAATGGAGTTTAAGTAAATCTTAAAGCTAAACCTCCATTATTATTAATTTTGTTTGGTTAAATATTTAAAATAGTTTTCTAATTTTCAATAAAATTTGAGAAGTAAACTAAATTTTCCAAGTGTACTAACGTTACAACCTATCGACAACTGACAGACAGGCATCAATTTTCGCAATGCTGACCCAAAAAAATCAATCGCAGGAATGCCTGCATGCTAATCGGGGATCAGGTTTTTGGCCACGATGACGATGATGGCCGTTGGTAGTGGTTTCGGTGGTTATAGTGATAATATTGGTGACAACATGATTTGGCGTTCGGTGGGCTCGTTTTATGTTGCCGTCACGCACCGAGTCCTACCAGTGGTTCGCCATTTTTGGGCTTAGCTCTTTGGCGTCGACTCTTGTCCTCTTTTGGCCCTGCCCAGTTTCAGCCCAGATTTTTCTGTGCCTTGTTTCTGCCTTTGTGTACTGGGTACTGGCAGTGGAGTTGCTGCGGCTGTTATTTGTTCTCTGGCCATTTTTCACGCATTTGACTGCATTACTTAACCTCAATTTGGCCAACGACGTGCATCAACTTCCCATTTCCCTGCCCACTCCCCCCGACTGTTCGTGCCACTCCTCAAACCCAATGTCTGTCTCGTCGAACGGTTGCCGTTTCCGTTGGCTGCCACAGCTCCGTTGAACAAATGAAGTTGTCGCGTCGACTTACAACCATTTGCATATTGTCCCCCACTCCACCCATATCCCCTCCATTTCAACACCTCGATCCCGTATTCGAGGAGTACTGATCCTGTCCAGTTCGCTGTGATCATTTCAATTGCCCTGATTCATGTCTACAGGCCGGAAAAAAAAAAAATGAAATATGGCTTTTTAGGGTAAATTATACGATATATTTTATTTGAAACTATAATGAAACAAACTATTAACTAACTATTAGATAATAAAATATTTTAAAATTTTGCTTAAATATTTAATTTCTGGCAGCTACTTCTAAGATACAATAGACCGTAGAAGATTTCATATAAGCGTTCTTAAATATCTAGGACTAAATAACATGTTTAGGGTTTTTTTAGTGTTATCACTTCTTTCTTTTGATTCCTGCATTCCTCTAACAATTAAAGTTAGGGGTTGGGTTGAGGTAGAATTAACCACGCGATTGTCGCCGGCCCAAAAAGCCTCGATTGTTCTCCATTTCGCAAGCTCTTGTCTTTTTCTTAAAACTGGTTTTGCGCATGCGCGCCTTTTTTGTGTTACTGCTTTTTCCTTTACATTTTGAATAGGTCTTTTCATACCCTTCCAAATTGTATTATAATTTGGCCAAACTGGAAGCAACGCTAGGGTCGATCTAAGGATATAGTTCGGGCGGTCTTGTCTGTTTTTAGGCAAATGGACTTTGAGATTTAAAACTATCGTTACATATCGTTTTGGCATGGTTTGGAATGGCAGTGATAGGTTTAATATAATATAGGTAATTGTCGTAGGTAGGTCGGTAAAAGTCTTGGAATTTATTAACAATCAGTATTACGCAAGATATACATACCATTCATAGACTAAAAACGCCCATTTATTAAATTTCGCTAACTTACAATATTAACTTACAAATATCACGTATGCATATCAACTATGCAATAATTATTTTGTTTAAATACCTTGAGATGAGGGAAATAATATCCTAGATCCTTTGCCTCGGGATGACAATAATTGCCAAAAACTTTCAAAACTTGTGAAAGACTTAAGTATCTTAAACAATTTGAAATGTTTTAAAACCATTTTAAACATGCCTAATATATATGTAACTTCGAAATCTGTTCAAGTATAACATTCGACAAACTGAAATTTATTTGCGGAGGTGTTTGGCAGTAGTCTTTGACTCCTGAAAATACATAATTTCATATCAATTAAATATTAATTTGTGTTCAGTCCTTGAGTTGGAGAGGGCATTTCAGTGAAGTTCAGTTATATGTACAATTGTATTATACAATAGAATCCTTTGGTTAAAGTCGGACAAATATGGAAAATTCGGGAAAGGGCAAAAAGTTTTTGGTGAAAGGCAAGTTAGCCAAAAGCCAACGTAACTCGGATTTTTACCAGGCGATAAATAATCAGTCTATTTTTATACTTTCCAAATCTTGGCTTTAAAGTAGTATACCTACACAGGATATAAAAACAGTCAATAAATTATTGATCCTATTTCGCAAACTGTTAATGAGCAATAAAAAACGACAAGGGTGTAGAAGCTTCGTTTCTCGCGAAGCTTTCCTTTCTTGTTTTTTATTTTAGCAAGCCATCACTGAGACCTGTGATCTTGTTTTTTGTTATTTTAGCGGTTTTTGTTTTGATTTCTGATTGCCGTTCGAATGTCTTTTTCAGCGGGTTGTTGCTATTGTTGGTAGTGTTGCTGCTGTTGCCCACTTTTATTTACGGTGGCAAGTGTCGCTTGACAAATTGATTTTGATTTGTTTGGTCTTTTTGCACCTTTTTGTTTTGTTTCGGTTTTTATTTTGTTTTTTATTGTTTGCAAGCCGGCAATGGGAAGTTTTTTAGGGGCTTGGCAGCCTTGAATGCAACTTTTGCCTAGGGAAGTGACTAAAAGTGACGGAGTACCCATTAAATTGCTTCAGTTCCCAGCTGAACAGGAAAAGGAGTCAACAGCAATATCCATCCAATTATCTCTTCCTTTGGAAAACGTTCAAATTGGAAATCAAACAGCAACAGTTGAATGCACTTTGGCGGGGGTGGCTGGGCTGTGGCTTTTATTTTTCGATGGGACGGAAGGGAGTAAGGGCGGCCGGGGCAGGGTGCGGGGCTAACTGTTCATTACACGCTCGTTGGCATCCTGTTTCATGCAACAGCAAGCAACAGGATGCCGCACAAACAATCTAAATTCCGAGGGTGGTTGCTCAGACATGCACTTTGAGAAACGATGGGACCTACGATGGTGCTTATATCTTTTGTAATTGAAGTTTTGTCCTTAAAGTATCCTAATACGCCACATAAACACTTTTATCATTTAGTTTTAAAATGTCCAACTACCCATAGAATTCAAAATACCCTTTCTCTTTAATATTTTCTTCACAAGTAACAAGTATTTCTCTAAGTGCTGCCAGACCTGATTGCCCCTTAAAAAGCCAACCAAAGTCAGTTCCAAGTGAATGCCAAACAAAGCCCGTCCATCCAACACCACCGATCCATCCATCCATCCACTCCGGCGATCGTACAAAGGGACTCAGAACACAAAGCATTAACGCGCTCTGGAAAAAAATGATCAGGAGCCGGAGAAGGAGCAAGAGGGTCACGAACAGAAGACTCCGAACAAAGGAAGATCGTTTTTTTCTTTTTCCTGAGCTCAGTCGTGCGTCAAAAAAATCCTTAAGCCAATGGAAACGAATAAGAAATTCAACAGCCGAGCACCTGATGATGATTCCGACTCTGACTTTGACGACGACACCTGAACCCTCCGGTAAATAAATATTAAGGAATGATAATTAGGAGGTCTAGCAACCCTCCGCCAGACGGACGTTACAATCGCGCACAGGTACGACCCGGTAATGGTGGTGGAATCTCAGTGGTTGTTCGTCAGTCTTCCTTTTTCTTCCTTTTTGTGCTCGTCTAGTGTGAAGTGATCGTTTGGCTATCTAAGTGATGTCATCCAAGGGTGGCTTCTCAACCCAAAAAACAAAGAACCTGCTAGGATATTCATAAGTCTACCCCTGGACTCGCTTGAGGAGATCGCAACCGTTGTAGCAAGTTGCCGAAGATGCGCCGCGCCCTAATTAGTGGCGGGCAAAAGGTAACAGTGCATCGTAAAAATATGCACATATCAAGAACTCCTATCTACATAATTATTAATTCAATATTTCCTGCCGGTTCTTGTACGCCAGCCTCGGTGCCAGCCTTAAAGAAAGCAATTCTCGAAAGGGGAAAGGAAGCGAGCACTTGATCTCAAGGACCACATTATAATGGAAAACGAGTCGCTGGAGGAAAAGGGGAGTCCCTCAGCCGGATGGTGAAATCAAATGAGATCAGAAGAGAAAGCATTGGAAGTTCTGGAGGGGCCTTTGCACTGAGGAAAGAATCTTTTTAAAACAGGAGTTTACGAGATGATTCTTTGAAAGAAATAGGGTACATTTTTATCACAGATCTCAAGTAATATAACCTAGAAATTCAAAACTTACCTAGAGTTACTTAATAATGAGATAAATATTATATTAAGCTTACTTAATGGGATAATCGGTTTTTAATTAAAGTTTTTTCATTAAAGTCGACTACATATATCATTGTTTTGAATGTATTTATTATTAAACACTTCTGCGAAAGTACGTCATATTAAACAATAAAATATAATTTATCTGTATAATGGTTATCTTTTACTAGATTTTGTATTCTTTAAAAGAAAAATTCCCAATCCTTAGGGGGATAGGAATGCTAATGTCACATGTTAATGTGATCGGCCATCTGGAATAGTATTCGTTTGCCTAGAAATCACTGGAGGAGCTTTGCTGGCGAAAGTAGTAGCTCGTTCCCCTCCCTCTTTCCTTGCCCCTCGTTTTTAGATCTCTTCCGCGATAGACACGCGTCACAAGCTCCTACTAGGGAGCTCCTACTCTTCTGCTCCTCCAGCTCCTCCAGCTGCGACGACTGTGGCACCCATTAACATTGTAGCATTTTACGCTTTCGCCTTGTCTTCGTCCCCACATAAAAGAGAAGATAGAGGGACACAGATAGAGGGAGATGGGAAATTGAATCTTTTCCCGGACGGGGTTCACTGAACCCCGTCTCTCAGATGATTTGCGCCTAGCTGGCGGACGAACTCTCGGATCAGGGGGCTACTATATGTGTGTACATCCCAGCTCTGTCTTGCTGCGAGGATGATAAATTGTAAGGCACTTATACCCAGCTCCGTAATAAAAACATTTTTTTTTGTTCAAAAATCTCTTAATCTCATAATCCCAAGACATCCAGCCGGACTTGCCTTAGATCCGCGTGGTGGGAGTACTTACGCGTTGCAAGTTTGGAGAGACATGTGCTTGCAATTACGATTCAGTTGACCTACATCGATCTGTAGAAATTCCTGATGGGAGATCAACTACGAAGAACTGAAAATTAATTGATTTTCAGTAAAGGGTCATTCGAATTAAATGAGACTTGCATATATACTTTCCATTGATATTTCAGTTTTTTCGATCAAAAATATTTCAAAAATCATGTCTCTCGTTTGAATATAATTTTTTTCAAAGAGTCCTTTAAGTTTATAAAACAAATTTAAATAAAAACCTGTTACCATACTATGCTAACAAGAATTCAAACTTTGTTAGATAATATCTTATTTATTAACCGAAATTAAGGATAGAGGGTCTTTATGAAAATCTAACTGGTTTTTAAAAAATAATGTTTAAGATGAGCATTTTATTCATAAGGCGCAGAGTGCCTTGCAAGAAAATAGTTCCCAGGAAGGCCGTAATTCTTATGGAGCACCTTTGGAAGACCGCGCCTAGACATAGACCATCCCGAACTTTGCATAATTTCCACTAAATGGAAGCCTAGATGGTAAGACATGATAAACATGATCTAGGGTTCAAAATTATGCGCTGTAAGCGCACTCAAGCAATGCGATTTTCATTATTTTCCTGCTGCCGTGGAAAACGCACGTGCACAAGGCCAAGACAATTTTCTTACCCTCCTGCTGGGGGATCTTCACATGTCTTCCACTTATATATTATATGTAGGAATGCCTGGCAGATGAGCAACCCTCAGGGGCGCAACTCCTTGGACAAGGCAAGTCAACTGTGAGAGGGGGTGGTCGCTGAAGGATCCGGGGATCGGTTCCCGCCCGATCCGAGTCCCACATAATATTTGCATCTCATTTCCGGACACTTGGTTGCGAGGGTCAGCGCTCCGTCCTACATGTTCTCGGGGGTGAGCGTTTGACAATTACTTTTTTTGGGTGCGGGACTCGGAAGTGGAAACGGGACAAAGGCGAGCGGAAATGCCTTAACATGAATGCGAGGGGTGAATAATTACAATTATAACTTTTTGTATTTGGGGGAGGCTCACACAGTACACGGATGCCTATACAAAGTCTATGGAAAATCTAAAAAAGCAAAGCTAATGGTATAGCATTAAAATAAAAATTGTTTTAGTTATAATATTACCTATTAAAATTTCAAAATAGAACAAATCATAAAGTATATATCCTTCAGATAATATCTTATTAGAGGTAATCTATTTTTCAACAGGCTACATCTTAACCATCCTTTAAAAAATGTATATCCCTTTCTTGACTCTTTTTTTCGTAAGCCCCTAAGAGGTATATTTTCTCTCCGTGTTTCTAGGCTAAAATCAAAATAGTTTTTATGGCAATTTTCACATGGAATTTTAATGAGCTCTCCTAGGCAAGGGCGTTACGGTGGCTTATTTACGATCCCTCGACTGGATTTGTGTGGTGCACTGTGCGTGAACCTGTTACATTGAAACCCACGACTCTACCCCCTTTTCGGATTTCTCTGGCCCCTGTGTTGGCTGACATTTTCCCATGATTCGTCACCCAAATTCATTCAGGTGGCAGTGCTTTTCGGACCTGTTGCATAATTTGTCAACGATTTTATTGCTTCGGTTCATGCTTTTAATGATAGACTGTACTGCATACATTTTAATGAGTGGGGACTTCATGCTGCAGGTCTCTTGGCCATCACCTTCCTTGATTTATTTAACTTCTCGAAAGTTAAAGGCAAATCAAAAAATAGTCCAAAATCCAATCCCAAGTGCTTTATAGAGAAGTACTTCTTGATCGACTTATAATTGATCTCCTGCGCGATGAGGACTTTTTGTAAGAATTCTTCTGCGGAGTTGAAGAGCGAAGAAATCCATTAATCATATTATAGGAGCCCCACACAGTTCTTCTATCCCTTTGGCCACAATTAGAAAGTCAATGACCGTTGTACCCCCGGTCCAAGAATCTCCGCAGCTCTTTCTCTCCGGACATTTTCGGCAAGAGATCGTCTCATTATTAATCCTCAGCCAAAACCGAAGAAACCATCGCTGGCCCTATCTCACTCCCCCCATCACCTGTAGACGGATGCAGAGAGTGAGAGAGATGGGGGGTGTCCATTCTCATTTCTATTCCCAGAATTTTTCATAGGGTTAAAACCCACGAGCGTTTTTTGTCTATTCGTTTCTTTTTGGGCAATCATCAGACACAATAGAAAGCTAGACCAGCCAGCAGGCGAACCAGAAGAAAAGGCAAGGCAGTCAGGAAGAACCGCTCCAAAGAAGGGGCCGCAAAATGTACGGACGGATGGACGGATCTGGGGGAGAAGGGAGGGCTTCCAGGGGTCTGGCTCTGTCCGTTTTTCGGTCGTTGAACCGGGAGCGGAGAGAGGAGAACGGCACGGCCGCACCGTGGAGGCCGCGCACTGAAGACTGAAGACCGAAGACCGAAGACCGAAGACCGTGGTGGAGAAGAGCGGCAAAGAAGCGATCTTCGCTTTCGAGAGTCGTAACAGTAAACAGTTAAAACGCTTCAAATGCGTACGGCTGGCCCGCCAGTCTGGATTTCAGTCCGACTGAGCGATGGGCTTTCTTCGTGCATTGTTATTGTTTTTATTGCGGCTGTTGTTGGTTTTAAGGCCATAACCTGCTGGAACACTGACCAAAAAGTCGATCCCGAAAAATAAACATTAAGCCAAGTCAAAAAAGGGAAAGATATAATCCTTTGTCAGTAATTCTAAGATATTATAGGTACTGCTTATGAAGGTCCTGCAGATATTCTGGATTATATCGTTAATTAAAAGATAACCTTATTTAAAATATAGGTCAGCTAAAGTTCTTTACCAGCTACATCCCCGCCTATAAGTTGGCTTGTTTCAAAGGACTTTTCTCTCTCTGTAGACCTGTTAATCTGTGCCCTGAAACCCGAGCCGCGTTTAGGACTTTGGCCTGCAGCTACGCCCGCAACTTGATGGTTGTTTACGAACCTGTTGCACTTGCTGCAGGCAGGGTGTTGGGTTTTATGGAATGTAGGGTGGAGCACAAAAGAGGGGGTCGGGAGGGGGGAAGGTGCTGGGTGGCCAATGAACGCCCGCCCAATCCCAAAGCCCAAAATGCCTCGTCCGTTTGCCAGCCAACGCACCTGGAGCTTCGGTCTAAAGTGGAAAGCCAACTTTACATGCCTGGGCCATTTACATGCGTAGCCTGATCCGCTCCCTTCTCCACCGCCCTTTTCTCCTGGGGCCCCTCTTGGCTTCTTTCTCTTTGGGTTTGAAAGCGCTGGGCATTTTTATTTTTATTTATTTTTATGATACCCGTTGATTTGAAAGAAAACCCTTTCTCTGGCGCTCTTTCTTCAGGGCCTCTCTGCCCCCAACCTCCGATTTCTCTCCTGTGTGCCACATTCTTGGCTTGGGATTGCGTAAAGGTACCGTTAGCAGCTTGGATTGTAAGCCTGTGTGTATATTTAAATGGACGCGTGGGACATGTGGGCCAACACCAAACCCAGTCTGGCCAAGTTGCCTGGTGGTTCTCCATGCACTCGAAAAAATTCCTCATGCAATTAATATTAGATTTAAAATTGACATTTCTTTAATGCAGTCATTAATATTTGTTTATATACTCCATTTCTTATGTTTTTTTTAATATTCTTAATATTCAAAGATTCTGTTTCCGAGATTTTTTTCTGAATGTTCTCTTGATCAACGATGCCGTTGAAGTTGCTTTGATTTTGGCCCAGTTGAAGAGGCACAGCATCCGCTAGAGCTCCTCATTTGGCGGCTTCTAGGTGCGCATCCGCCTTCGTTTGTCGTCTAGTGGATTCGGCTTTTGGGCCTCGACTTTTATCAACTTGTTTTCCGAAGCTGCTGCTGCCGTTGGTGGCTGCTATCGCTTTTGTTGCCGTTGTTGCCTCTAAGTTCTTCTCCTTTGTTGCTACAGAGTCTGGTTTCCCACTCATTTGCTTAATTTCAATTTCGTTTCGTTTGCCATTTATGGCACAATGACCATGAACGGTTTTTTAGACAGCTGTTGATT